TACTCCTGCTACTACTACTACAACTACTCCTGCTACTGCAACAACTGCAAGTTGTGAGCAGGCACGGGCGAGCAGAGTTACCCAAGCAATCGTGTGAGGCCCCTTTTTTTTGGGTCTCTCTGCCCTGGAATCCGTTCAGTGGCCGTTTCAGGCCACACAGTGAACCGACGCACTGCTGCGCACAACTTGTGCCGCAGGCTACATGGAGCAATCTACAGCTTAGTTTCAGCCGTGGTCTCTTGACCAAAAAAGCTGAATTAATCAAGGTGTTCACACGCACAAAAGTACAGCTCACAACCACAGCTTATGTACAGCCAGCCCCTCAGCCGAGAGCACGGACGTGTGTCGTTAGTAAAATCCGCGGCCGGAGGCCGCACAGTAGACCCACAAACGGTTCCTCTTAAACCGAACAGACATCGAGGCCTCGGTGGCACGAGGCTCTAATCCAAAACCTGCACAATGGCTGCACTTGTGAGACGAATCAAAACGGCAGAGGTGCATGGCGGCACCACGCGCTCCGGGAGCTGACTGCCCTCATGCTGTGCATTCGAGAACTCCGCGCCGGCGGTTCCTGTCGCTGGGCCTTGGCACGGCATCTGGGCTTCGCTTGTCGGGCGAGAAGTCATCCAGCGCAGAGAGGCATGGGCCTATGCGGTTCCAAAGGGATCAAGCGAATGGGTTGCGAAGTCCGTCTCAACCACGGTCCGAAGCGATATTCCAACTTCGGAGTTCGCATAGGAGCTCGCGGAGAAGTTGAGTCTGCCCGATATGCACGACACCGATCTGTCGGTCGCTGTGGTGAGGACCGACTTCGCGCCGGCCGCGACGTTCACGTCAGCTCTGCCTTCGGTTTGGGCACCTGCGGATTCGATTTCACGCAGAGCCTGAACTTGCCACTTAGTTTTCAGCGTCTGCGATCCATCCACACGTGTGCGAACTCTGGCTCCAGGCCTGAGTGCTTCCACAATTCCGGTGAGAATGGGCTTGCTGTCAAAGCCATACCCCAGGACATAGATGTGGTCGCCAGTCTTGGCGGAGGCCAGGAGCGACACCACCTCATCGTGGTACTCAGGCAGGATCAAGAACTTGATCCCTCAGCGATTACGAACTCCGCGACTCCGCGCTTCTCATTTGGCGTCGCCTTGGGCGTACGTCCAGCACCGCAGACGAACTCGTGCCAGTCATGGCCACAAACCGTGACGCCGCCTCCTGCGCTTGTTCCTGCTGAGCGCACCTGCCCTCATGGAGGAAGGCCTTGCAGTCGGATTCGTTGGCAGCCCCGTCGGTGCTGCGCAGGTCGATGAGCACCCTGTGGGCTCCGCGTTTGGTGCGAGTCGCCACTTCGAAGACGGCATTCAAAGAGATGAGCTTGACCGCCGGAGCAGTGTTGGTGCAACAGGTGGGCGAGCTTATTGAGAACTAGGCTCGAGACCCATCAAATGCAGAAGGCTAGCAGCGTCCACAGGACGGAGGTCCTGGCGCGTAGAACGCTTGGGCAACAGGCACACACGGCGGTTCCTACTGTCCTCTTCGGGCTTCGCATAGATGTTCACTACAGCGAGCTGCGAAACCCACACAGTTAAGAGCTGCGTCATGCTCTCGAGTTTCATCCCCTCGTCGTTGAGGCAAACTGTCACTGACCAAAGTAACCAAGCCTCCCTTACGCCTACTCCCACTACTCTACCTGTTTTCTTGCCGGCACCATGTGTACCTCAACGGATTTCCAGTGTCTGGCATCGAGGCTTATTTCTTGCAAACAAAGACACTTCACGTTGCTGCCGGGTCACCATACCTTTCATGGCTCTCCACAAGCCCATCTGCCCCGCACGTTTACTGTGACGACACGGGTCATGGCAGCGAAAGGCTACTTCTTTGCAGAAGGTTTCCCATGCTTTGCATTGTGGAAGGGGCGACTAAGCGTCAAGCCAAGCTTCTGCAAAAACTGTTCATGCGTCAGACTTGATCTGATGCCACGTCAAGTGCGGGAATATTGCTCGTCCTTGAAAGACCTTAGGCCAAATGGCGCAATCAACGAAAGCATCGGGTGCAAGTCTTGATGAAGCCTTTCGTTCTAACCCGCCAGCCTCCTTCCAGTCCCCCCTCACAGGCACAAGTCTGTGCTTGCACACTTTTGTTTTCTTGTTTTGAAACAGTTTAAAGCAACCGCCACGGTCATTCTTTCTTCAGCCCATCCCGAGCTTGACCCAAGTTTTCGGCGTTGGGCTTGCCAATCTCTTTTTCCTTTTTTCAAATGTTTGCGCGTCATGTCATATAATGCGGCTTGAAGGAGATGCCTGGGTGGCACACTCGCAAGGGCTCCTGCTTAGCAGGCGCTTAATGCTGCGAACCCGCTCAAATTCTTGACCACAATTCGGGCAGAAACTGCTCGTTTTGGGGTCTTTACTACTTGCAGCCTGCAGCGGCTGTTTGGCACGGGTTTCGTAGCCGCACACGATGCACTGCTGACGACACCGGCGTCGCCGGCTCGAGGGGTGTCGTGCGGCAAGAAGAGGCCTGGAGTGCTGGAGTTCTTACTTGTACGACCTGAGCGGCACGCAGGCAGAGACAAACTGGAGGCGCTCCTTTTTGCTAGGTCTGCTCGGTGTCCCAGCCGTCAGAGAAAGCCGCTTCGCGCACTCTTGGGCCCGGCACCTCTGGCAACTTCGTCTCCCGCGTCCAAGCCAGCAGAGGTTCTCTTCTTTGACTTCGTTCACAAAAAAGGCCGAAAAACCATCTTTGTGCAGAACAGGCATATCGGGGCTACTACCCTCTCTCTCGTGCAGGTAGCACCACTTCCACACAATCAGCGGGTGTCCGACGTGGCATGCAAGGCCACGTAACAGGAACGTGTCAGCCCAGCAGCCTTTGCGAGCAGCGCCGTCAAGGTACTGCTTGAACGTTCGTGTCACAGGGGCTCCGGCAGTCATGGTGCTTTTCTCCTCCGGATCCGGCACTCAATTATCGGCATTATCGGCGCGTTCCGAGTGTTTACCTTTGTGCGCTGCAGCAAGCAACCGCAAGGTGGCAGTCTCTCGAGCCACAGCAGGTTCATCCACTTCTTGGCCCTATATAGCCAATATTCATATTCAGTACTTGCTTACGTTCTCTTTTCACTACGCACTACTTATATATATATATGTATATATATATATATATTTCTTTCTTTCTTCGGTTATGACGACGACGACGCCCATGCTGAGGATCCCAGCCAAGCTGGCAGCCGCTCCCACAGCCTCAACACGCCGGCGTGGCTAACACATCATGGGAAGCTGGAGGCACCTCTCGTCCATCAGCCGCCTTCTTCACACCAAGTGGAATTCCTGGAACCTCAGAAGGCGCAGGAGCGGAGCACGGAGGCTGCCGAGGCCCTTCTTGATGCTGCGATGTCCAGGCTTGAGGCGAAATTGGACCTGCTGCTAGCTGAAAGTCGAGCCCGACCTAGAGATGCTCTGCATCCAGGAGTTGGAAGTGAAGAAATGGGCATTTTTGCAAGGGAGCGAAAACAGCGGAAGAAAGGTGGCAAGAAGATGCTACATCCCGAGGCATTCCGAAGCATGTACATGAATCACGGCCGCCGAATCTCGGTACTGGACATGCGAGCCGCCGGCGATCCAGACGCTTGGTCAGATGGAACTTTGTTTGCTTCCAGGTTTCTTGAGCGTATCCTATCTTCGTTTTGTTGGCACGCTTTTCAGCAATGTGCCAAAGGGTTGTTAAACAATAAGCAACGTTTCCAGCTGCTTTTGGCAACGACCCAGGATGGACACGCTCCCCGCCGGAGAAGTCTCCGCCAAACCGGAGACGAGGCTGGCCTTACGTCTTTTGCAAGGCAGATGAGCCCTTTCCACACAGAAGACGCTAATTTCAAGCCTTTCAGGCCAGTTTCACCCAAGGGCCAATCCGGCCAATCGCCGATGGACATTTAATACCTTCTTCCCGCAGGCCGGCATCGCCAAAAACATGGTTCAGTGCGGATCTTCAAAAGATCCGAAAGCTAGCGGCTAGACGCATATTTGCGAAAAGAAATGCTCTTGAGACTACGAGTTATGCAGTCTTGATTGAAGAGGAGCTGCACCGTTCAGCTATTTGATAGATCTGCTCGGAGGTGGTGCTAGGAAGTTGATGGCTGAGAGGTGTCTGCATCTGGCTGGTGTTCGCAGTGACTTCACCAGAGTTGGGCCATTTCCTGCAGAGCCGAGAGCTGTTGCGAAGTCGGGAGGGATTGGGCTTCAGGCGTTTTGCAGCCACGAAAACGGCTCCAGGGACTCCAGGGCTTTCGGCATTGGATCTACGTGACCCATGCGGCTATTCTCGAAGGTGCTGCTGCGCAGCTTTGTTTCCAGTCTGCGAAGCATGGGATGAAGCCTCGCTCAAGCCCGTCAGAGCACGCTGCAAGTAGCAGGACTTATATTTTCAACAGGGTGTGCTTTTGCTCTTTGTCCGTTTCATGTTCCTACCAGAGAGATCCTCCCGCTCCCGAAGATGCATCCCTGAAAAGAAGTGCTATGCAGCCGACAGAGTGATGGCCTGTGCTTTGTAGCCAGACAAATGCTGCCAGCTGTGAGAGTCTTCGGGTAAAGCAGCAGAAGTGTGTCGCGGATTTGGACCAGAATCAGTCCAAGAAGCCTGATTCAGGCAAGAACACTAATGGGCCCACGCAGTCTGCAACTGTAGCAGCAAGACTCCGCTCTGCTGGCTAAGCATGACCACTGCCATGTCTTTGCCCAGCGATGCCGGCAGCATACAGGCCGGGATTCGGGTTTGTGGGTTATAATTCTTGCCCCAGACCCGGTGAACGGGTCGATGCTGAGTTCAAGAAGATGAAATCCATCTTCATCTCAAGGTTTAACATGCCAGACCCCGATAGGATTTTCAGGGATTCTATCAGTGGATGCTCCTTGCCAATTCGCTGAGTCTTGGTTTTTCCAGCTTAGTCTCCGGTCTTCTGCTGTATATTGCGGGCAGCCATCGGTCTCGTTTCTCGTTTCCCTTCAGTTTCCACAGCGGGCACAGCCCTCCAGCAAAGCTGTAACGGTGTTCTAGCAAGTTTGGGCACGTGTCAGCAACACGTCCTGTTGTGTACCGCAAGTGTTGTTTTCGAGTTTTCGCCGGATGCCGTGACTCAATAGATATGAAGCAGGAAATAACCAAACAAACGGAAAAAAATGAGCAAATACAGAAACATGTAAGCAATCAATAAGGAGAGTACGTATAAGGAGAAGTAAATAAATAATATATATATATATATATATATACACATACACGTACACACGTATGTCTAAACATGTGCATCTATGTTTTCGGGTATATCTATCCGTCTCGCTCTCTCTCTCTCTCTCTGCCTTCTCTCATTTGTCTCTCTCTCTCTGCTCTGTCTCTGCTGTCTCTCTCTCTGTCTTTCTCTCGCTCTCTCTCTCTCTCTCTGTCTCTTAGTACGGTTGAGAATATCTAGAGTGTAGACATTCATGACCAGGTTCGGCAAATCTTATGCAGCTCCAGATTATGAAGGAAAGTTCTGAAGGGGCGACGGATCTCGCTGATTCTTGCCGTTTGGATGTCCAATGTGTGACGAACGAAAGTTTCTGTGGTCTAGGTATGTTTCAGCTTGCTTGACTGGCATACCTGCTTGCGATTATGGGGCGGATTGCAAGAACGCCAAGAACCATCAGGAGAACTTACAAACACATGTTTTGCATTTTGCGGACTTTGACCTGTTTCAACAGACTGGTTGCAGTGGGACTGGTTGCGGTTCTCTTTCCGGTCATTGTTCGTTACTGCGCTGTTCGTCATGGCTTGTGCCTGGTAGTGTGGAAGGGCTTGCAAAACCTGGCGATCCAAGATCGAAATACGCCCGCGAGCCTCTTCACATCTCTCACCATAAATTCTCTCTGCCATGTGATCCTTGAGGTGGATTTCTTTGTCAATGGAAGGAGGACGGATGCCTTGCCTTACCTTGGAGGGAGTGATGACCTGAGAGGACTCGGAAGAGCCATGCCCCCTGACAGGAGCCTCCAGAAGGCACCGCTCTCAAACTACCGCTTCGAGGGCTACGCCGGGGACCCGGAAGTCTTTTCGCAGAAGGGCTTTCAGACACCCCAGTCTTTTCGACAAAGTGCAGGCCGTGGAGTCGTGAGATTCGTTCTCTTCCTGATTTGATCTTCGAGAGCCTGAGCCTGACTCTCGTCAGGTTCATCCTGAGGCGTACCTGGACAAGTCGGGGCCTTCAGGCACGCTCGCACCATGCTGGTCCCCCTGCATTCTCGCAGAACAGAATTCGAACATGATGCGCCAGTGCAGCTGCCGAAAGCTGCAGAAGCTGAAACCTTCAAAGTCACAGCCGCTCAAGAGCCCCGTGCAGCACAGCATAACGGCACAGAGTTTCTGGCGATACTTTCAGTACAGCATGGCTAGTAAAGTCTCTTGAATATTCTGATTGGATTGAATCCGCGAGGCCCTGTCATCAAGTCTTTGCGGAGTGCCTGGGCAGAAAGCACTGAGGAGCTCGTTTCGGGAGCCCTGGACGAACCGGGAAAGACTCATCTTCAACTTCTGGTGTTGTTATGTGCCTCATGTTTCTGTAGAGAGCAATGTGATCATGATTGTATGCTGATGCAGGGCAGCAGTAGCAGTAGCAGTAGC